GAAAGTGTTGAACGATGATGAAAGTGTTTTCTTTTTGGGGATTTTCTTTCTTTTTTTGGGTCACCCTGCCTCGGTGGGAGACGGCCGACTTGTTGAGAAAAAAAAAAAAAAAAAAAATATATACACATATATATATAAATATATATAAAGGCCGTGTGAAGCATAATATGAGTGTACCATGGAAATGAAAATAGTGCAACAAGAGAGACTTCAAAAAATTTTGTTGTGCCCTTTTAGGGGCAGTTTTCAATTTCGGTAAATAAATATTTATAAAAAATATTTCTATTGCTTATATGAATTTTGTAGTGGTCTGGATGTGTACAGAACGCTTTTATGGTCCTTCCAGATCAATGTGAAATTGTTTTATGGTGAGCCCTCCAACACCAAGTAAAAATGTCTGTTTTTTTGGAGGAAAGTGACTCAGAACTGGAGGTAGATGACCCAGAACTGCTTGCTTGAAAGTGGTGATGAATACTTGCCACTGGATGCAGAGGTGTCAAGTGATGATGAGGAAGAAACGCCAGCCAAAAAGTGAAAAGTAGTCAAGAAAAAGAAAGGTATTAGGATAGAGGAGATGCCTGTTGAACAACAACAATTATACCACATCATCATTTTATTGCTTCATATGCAAAGTAAATCTATGCATAAAGAAGAATAAAAATTGCTTCATACCCTTCCATTCTAGCAATTAGTAATATACAATGACTGTTCTTTCTCAGGGAATTCAGGAATATGGGACTTGAAAATTTTATCCCTTTGCAATGTATCAATGTAGCAATTTGGTTTCTTTTTATATTTTTCTAATACCTAAAAAAGGTTTGGATGCAAGTTCCACTTATATTTTTTATATTGTCTGTTTGTATAATAAATTAAAAAAAATAGCTATTTGCTGTTTTATTAACCATTGCAAGTTTGCAACAGCCAAATTTCTACTCCCTAATACGGGCAGGCTGTAATAAATTTGGTTTTCGCTGATTAGCAATTGCTTGAAAACTAAACATCAGAATTCCATTTATATGGGCTCAATGACCTTATATTGAGTTACTCTATCCACTATAGGGCGTTCAGTTCAAATTTCTAAATTTATGGCCATTTGCCCCATGAAGGGATAAATATCGTCGAGACCGCTAACTTCGCGAGAGCATAATTCTGTAAGTTTTCCATCAAATTTCATACTTTTAGTGTCATTATGATCGGAAAAAGATTATCCAACATTTCATAAGATTTTTTTTTTTTTTTCAAAAAATTTTCGACCCTGAGAACAAGTATAGGAGAGGGCCTCTCGACCCTCAAAGGGTTAAGGGTTAATGATTAAGATGAAAAATAAGATTCCTGTAGTTTATGCTGTGAATTCATTTTGACAGAAGTGGTACAACAAAACCCAACTACAAAATCACAGCTCACTTAAGTACAAGTTTCACCTGTGTGAAACCTATATGAATTCATTTATGAGCAGCAACCCTTCTTCTTTCAACAAACCAGCCATATCCCACTGAAACAAGGTGGTCCAAAAAGAAAAACAAAAGTTTCTCTTTTTAACTTTAGTAATGCATACAAAAGGGGTTATTAGCCCTTTCCTCCCGGAATGTTAGTAGCCTCTTACGACACACATGGCTTATGGAGGAAGAATTATGTTCCATTTTCCCATGGCGATAAGAGGAAATAAACAAAAACAAGAACTAGTAAGAAAGAAGAAAACCCAGAGGGGTGTGTATATATATGCTTATACATACAAGTGTAGTGTGACCTAAGTTTAAGTAGAAGTAGCAAGACATACCTGAAATCCTGCTTCTTTATGAGACAGAAAAAATGACACCAGCAATCCTAACACCATGTAAAACAATTATACTCACTTGGCAGGATGGTGGTACCTCCTTGGGTGGCTGTTTTCTATCAACCTATTATAAATATGCCCCACTTTACTGCGTTTCACTTTACGATGTTCCGCTAATACAGACATTTCAAATTATGACCAAAACTCCCTATATGGCTCCCCCCATCTGACTTTCTAATACGGTCACCACGCCCCACCAGGTTTGTTTACATTCTCTATGAGCATCACTTTTCATTACATGTGGAAACTTTCCACAATATCAAGTACTCCAGCCCACTAAAATCATAGCTACTTCGCTAGAACTCTATTTGTTCTATCGACTGACTACAAGAAACTGCCCATTTACCGATTTCAACTACCCAATTAAGTGGTCACAAATTGGCAATTTGGTCAATTTCACACAAATTTCAAAAGATGCCAATTTCAAAATAGGGTCCAGAATAAACAAGACAGACATTCCTGGCACTAAAATAACATTTTATCTGTTCATTAGTCATGTCTCCAGGCCCCTCTTACATTACTCTTCCTTTCTATTTTGAATTTTTATTTTCACAAAAAATAGATTTACTGTTATGCAAACTACTGCATTATTGTAAAAATGGTATAAATAATATTAGCGCACTTGTTGACATGTATTGGATGCATGGCGTGATTTGTTTACTCTTGAACGTCAGTAAAATCGAACATTTCTGCTAATTTGAGTTCAATTTCAAGGTACTTTTCATCGTGATACCAATCAAAATCATCTCTATTTCTGTAATACATCTTACATTATATCAAATGAGACCAGGAAAACGAGAATACAACTATAAATATCATATGAAAGTACACTGCAAAGTCGTTGTTTTAAATAAAAAACAAGGTCAGAGTTTTTTTTCTCATTATGCACTGCATGCTGCAGGACCACACAGACCCATTCTTTCATATGTAGGCCTACCAGGTTTCTTCCACCAGATTTGAAGGTGCTACAATTTTGGCTCATAAGTACATGACTGACCCTTGCTGTTAAAACGTACATACTGGGTTCTATTGCTAAGATTTCAGATAATCGAGAGAGTGTTCTCTGACCCCTTAATGTTCAAGCTTTTGGTGCAAAAGGTCATGGTCAACTGTATTAAAAGCTTTTTGTAAGTCTATGACCAGTCCCAGGGGAATTTCATTTTTCTCGAGTGCAGAGTATATCAGTTCAAGCATATGTATAATAGCATCATTAGTACTTTTTTGGTCTGAACCCAAACTGACAAGGGTTCAGTATGTTGTGGGAAATGAGGTAGCAGTAAACTTGTTAGTGTATTAATTTCTCGAAGATTTTAGATAGCAGGGGCAGGTTTGATATAGGCCTATAATTGTTCAATTCGGTTGGATCACCTCCTTTGAGGATCGGGGTGACTCTTTTTGTCTTGAGTATGGATGGAAAGGTGGAAGATTCAGTGGATTTATTAAAAAGAGTTGCAATAATTGATGACAACACATGAGAAGCTTCTTCATACATGAGTGGTGGTAAGTTATTTAGGTCCTCTGTCTTGTTTTTAAGTGTTTTGATGATAAGAGAGATTTCAGTAGGGTTTGTTGGGACTAAAAATAGAGTATTAGGGTAGTTGCCAGTGAGGCAGTCTTTTGGTTGAATGTTTGAGCTTGGGATTTTACTTGCAAGTTTTGTTCCTACGGTAGAGAAAAAGACATTAAGTTTGTTGGGAGTATTGGTTGGCTGTAGGAGAGGTTCATCTGGTTTAGTTAAGTTAATGAAAATGTTTTGTGACAGTTTTAATGTTCCTAGAATTTCAGATAAGGTTTCCCAGGTCTTTTTCGTATCACCTTTTATGCCATGAAATCTGTTTTCATAATACAGTTTTTTTGACCTCCTTATTAGATTGGTTAGTATTGACGAGTAACATTTTGTGAGACCCTTTCATTATTAGACCCATTCTGTACTGTTTTCCATATAGACATTTTTTATCAATAGATTTGCAGATGCTGTTTGTAAGCCAGGAGCTGTTTAGTCTCTTTGCTGTGATCTTCTTAGATATTATTGAGCAATGCATGTTATAGAGGTTTTGGTTTTTTTTGTAAAAAAATTTTGACACATTCATCAGCATGGAAGTTGTCTGTTAGCTCGTTCTGCCAGTCAATGTCACTTAATGCTGAAATAAAGTTATTAACAGATGACACATCATGCAGTTGGAATGTGATCTTAGTTGTGTCCTGGGGCACTTTACACAAGTTGGTTATGAGAAAGATGGGATAGTGGTCAGTGGTGTTATCTGTGATTATGCCAGCTTTTAATGGGGATATAATGTTTATCCAGATATGGTCTAGTAATGAGGCATTTGTGCCAGTGAGTCTTGTAGGTTTTGTTATTGTTGGCAGAAGTAAGCAGCTGTTCATAGTGTTTGTGCATTCAGTCACTTGTGGGTCATGGTCATGGATAAGATTTATTTAAGCAGAAGTTGCAAGATGTACCTGACATCTTGCATGTTTATGAGACAGAAAAATGACACCAGCAATCCTACCATCACGTAAAACAATTACAGGCTTCCGTTTTACACTCACTCGGCAAGACGGTAGTACCTCCCTGGCAGGTGCTATCTACCAACCTACTACATAGGGTTACATACATATCTATTATAAAGTTTAACCGATAAATTACACATATTAAGTAGAGAATTATCACTTTTTTTACTGATGGGAAGCACTTAACAGCTTCTCTTAGGCTTTGAAGAACTTCCAACATCACTACTTTTGAACTCTGTGGCCATTATAAAGCAAAATTAAGGGTTATTTTCAGGCCACAGTAAACTGCGAATAACTGAAACCAAGGATGCTGGACCTGTGGATACGGGAAGTTCTACTGTACAGTAGTAACCCTAATTATATAACACTTCATATCTCATGTCACTGGATTCCTATAAAGTTATGTGTCGCCATACAGTCTGACAGTGCAATACAAAAGTTAATATTCCATCTAACACTAGTGTAACACTTAAACATTTTACTTCATAATGCATAACCTGTTTGAAGCAATAAATTCGATCACCTGGCAGTCAATAACATTTGGTCTAAGGCCACATTACACGAGAACTCTCAAAACTGGTCAAAGGTATATTAATAAAGATCAAGCTTGACTAACAAAGTAGAGATATGATAAAAATGTTTAATTATACTTTACCAAGAAAAATATCAATCTTGAGCTGTTCAAAAGGAAAAGAAACTTGATGTGCTTTTAAGTGGTGTTTCCCCGCGCAAAAGCAGCAGCAGCCATTGAGTCTGGGTCTTGAGGGATAACACACACACTCAGGCTGGCATCAAGGCTACCAATTAACCGCAGGATGGCCAACTGCACCCGTCGCATCGCTGTCTCGTCCACCTACACCACAAGTACAACCCTTAACTGTATCTAAGAAGAAAAAAAAATCACAATGTTTCAGTCAATCCTGGACTATCATCAAGTTATAACTCTTGAGACTCAATAAAATGTCCAGACAGACCAAAATGTCCAGAACATTTAGAACCACTCCTAACTTAGCGACATACTTGTTTACCGACCACTCGGACTTACGACCCAGCTCTCCAACCAGAATGCAAACCTAAGTAATGTACGTAGGGCCCCCCACTTTACGCCGGGTTAGGTTCCAGGCTGTCACCGGAAAGCAAAAATCGCCGGAAGGCAGAACACCCTTTTTTTCCATTTACAAATGCATTATAAATGCATTAGTAATAGAACCAGGCATTAAAAAACACACAAAGTTTAAAAAACATTCACAGTAAATTCATTACTTATCTAAAAGTATTTGTAATCTTAATGTAGGGAGAGAGGTGAGTAGTACTTATTTGTAGGAAATCAGGTGAGTAGCCCAGGTGTAGGTAGCCCTGGCTCCCGTCTCATATTTTAAAACACGATATATTAAAAAATCCCAGAGAGGTAAATTACACACAGTACACTCATTATTGACCTTAAAATATGTGTAGTCTTAACATAGGAAGAGAGGTAAGTAGTATTTATTTGTAGGAAGTCAGTGTAGGTAGCCGGTAGGTGTAGCCCGCCTGGGCTACACCTACCGGCTACCTACACTGTGGCCCAGAGTCATATTATTAACATCGAATACCTTGTTCATGAATTTAATCATTTGTAACAATTACCTTTAGATGCCATCATAAATGAAGGTAGAAGTAATGAATAATTCATGCCGAAAATTGCAAACAAAAGCGGAGTGAGGGAGTGGCTGGGCCAACGCAGATTCATACACCATTTTTTTCTGTGCTGAGCAGAGAAAATGTAATGTTGGTCCCTCCACCCGGCTACCACACAGCTCCACAAGTATTATTTCAGAGCACACACAAAATATGCAATAAATGCCAGACAACAAGTTTACACTAACTTATATTAAGTTAGCAACAGAAATACGCATTAAAAACACAATAAAAGGTAAGATACACACAGAGTACACTATTACTTCCTTAAAAAAATTAATATTAATGTGTGAGAGGTGAGTGGCAGGGTGTTTATTGAATAAAATCAGAATTTGGGACACTATCATCCTCTAAAATTGGGACTTAAAAACAAGGGGTTACGACTTCTTTTTTTATCACAGCTAACCTTAGACGCCATCATCAATGAGAGCCAACTAGTTAACAAAAGAGTAAACGAGAGAATGAGATACAGAGTTGAGACAATGTAAGAACACAAACTGAACAGGCAGGGGACGGATCATTGGTCAGGCGAAATAAATGCGTATTAATATGTGTCTACTTTTAGTTCATTCACCTCCATTTGTAAGAGTTTGTAAAACATTTACCTCAATATTTTTTTATTATAATAATAATTACTTCACAATACAAATACTCTTACACTGTGTACAAGTTGTACAAGTTAGTACAGAATAAACACAACAGCAACACACCATTTTTAGAGTGAATGAAAATGATGATGATTTATAATAATAATAATAATAATAATAATAATAATATTATTATTATTATTATAAAAAGCACTAAACCCACAAGGGTCGTGAATTGCTATATACCTGGAGTTTACCTGGGAGAGGTTCCGGGGGTCAACGCCCCCGCGGCCCGGTCTGAGCCAGGCCTCCTGGTGGTCAGAGCCTGATCAACCAGGCTGTTGCTGCTGGCTGCACGCAAACCAAATACGAGCCACAGCCGGCTGATCCGGAACTGACTTTAGGTGCTTGTCCAGTGCCAGCTTGAAGACTGGGCCAGGGGTTCTGTTGGTAATCCCCCTTATGGGTGCTGGGGGGCAGTTGAAAAAGTCTCGGGCCCCTGACACTTATTGTATGGTCTTTAACGTGCTAGTGACACCCCTGCTTTTCCCTTGGGGGGATGGTGCATCGTCTGCCAAGTCTTTTGCTTTCGTAGTGGGTGGGTTTTCGGTGCAAGTTCGGTACTAGTCCCTCTAGGATTTTCCAGGTGTATATAATCATGTATCTCTCCCTCCTGCGTTCCAGGGAATACAGGTTTAGGAACCTCAAGCGCTCCCAATAATTGAGGTGTTTTTTTCTCCGTTATGCGCGCCGTGAAAGTTCTCTGTACATTTTCTAGGTTGGCATTTCACCTGCCTTGAAAGGTGCTGGGTTTGTGTGCAGCAATATTCCAGCCTAGATAGAACAAGTGACCTGAAGAGTGTCATCATGGGCTTGGCCTCCCTAGTTTTGAAGGTTTCATTATCATCCTGTCATTTTTCTAGCAGATGCGATTGATACAATGTTATGGTCCTTGAAGGTGAGATCCTCCGACATGATCACCCAGGTCTTTGACGTTGGTGTTTCGCTCTATTTTGTGGCCAGAGTAAAGGCATACGAAAAGAATATTTTTCTACAGTTACCCCCCCGTGTTTGACTAGAGAAAAGTAATTCTTCTGGACACTACCCACACAGCTGCTTGTAAACAAGTCTCTATTTACATCATTTTTATTTTTATGAGTGAATGCATCATGTTTATCTGCTATGTAATGGGTTTCATATATAATTTTGAGGAAAATATCATAGACGGATTAATGAAAATGCCTATACAGTGGACCCCCGCTTAACGGCTCACCTCCCAAAAGCGACCAATTATGTAAGTGTATTTATGTAAGTGCGTTTGTACGAGTATGTTTGGGGGGGCTGAAATGGACTAATCTACTTCACAATATTCCTTATGGGAACAAATTCGGTCAGTATTGGCACCTGAACATACTCCTGGAATGAAAAAATATCGTTAACCGGGGCGGGTCACTGTATTGATGTAAAAATAAGGGCATTTAGTGTGCCAAAATGATTACTATTACGTTTGTATTGGCCCTCATGAGTAGAGAGAAACTTAGCGATTTTAATGTGTACCTGCACACCAGCACAGTGTGTAAGTAATTTAGGTACAGGTACACATAAGTATAATTTTTCAGAGTACATATAAAATATGCAGGAACTTTAAAACACTTGAAATTTTGGAAAGTTTCCTGACATAAAGATGAGGTCACGGAAAATGTAAACAAAACCCGGGGGGGGGGGGGGTCACCGAATTTTAAAGACCGCTTGTCGTATAGCAAATTTTGGTCATAATTTGACATCACCGTATTAGCGGAAAATGCCGTAAGGCAAAACGCCGTAAAGCGGGGCCTTACTGTATATTAGAGTTGATTTACTCTGTTCTGTTTATTACAGTACAGTACACTACTGTATAAAATTTAAAAATATACTAGAAAATGTTTACAGTGGAACACGAGTTTTTTTGCCGCCCTGAGTATTGGCCGTTTCAAGTTTCGGCTGCTTTTTTTGGGTAAAATTTTGGTCCCCAGTTTCGGCCATTGCCCTGTTTAGGTTGGCGTACCAGACCAGTCCAACTGCTGTTGCAGTGCACCTCCCCGCACAGGTGTCGTGAGACAGTCTAACTTTTTTTATCGTTGAATGAATATTCACCTTGTGCACTCATCCGAGCATTTCACAATAAATTCCTTGTGTTTAGTACTTGTTTATTGATTGTGACTGTGAAAGAGAAACTTCATTAATGGCAGCCCTTTGGTAAAGAAAGTGAGAAACACCATAGAAGTGAAGAAGGAGGGCAGTTTCAAAAATATGAGTGGTGTACGTGTGGGTGAGCTTGCCAGGGTGTACGGCAAAAAAAAAATCAACAATCGCTTTTATCCCGGCGAAGAAAAAAAAAAAAACTCAAGGGAAGCAGATGTTGCGAAAGGTGTTGACATGTTAACCAAAAATAGAACACAAACAGTCAAAGAGGTTGAGAAAGTTGTTGGTGGTGTGGATCAACAATAAACAGATAGCAGGTGATGTGTTTCAGAGTCGATATTTGTGAAAAAGGGAAGGCAGTTGCATGCCGATCTGAAAAGAAAATGCCTGGAACGAGTGCTGATGCTAGTGAATTCAAGGCCAGCAGAGGCTGGTTTGACAGATTTAATAAGCATAGTGGCATACACAGTGTGGGGACGCATGGTTTAGGCTGCCAGTTTGACAAATTGGCAGCTGAAAAATATGTACCCAAATTCAAGGGGTACATAGAGGCTGAAGAATTCAAAACCCAACAAGTATTCAACTGTGGAAAAGGACCTACTTACTCAGGGGGAAAAGGCAATGCCAGGACACAAGCCTATGAAAGACAGGCTAACTCTTTCGTTCTGTGCTAATGCTAGTGGGGATTTTAAAGTGAAGTCTTTACTGGTGTATCACTCAGAAAATCCCAGAGTGCTCAAGAAAAACCATGTCATCAAAAGTAAATTGTGTGTGTTGAGGAAAGCTAATCATAAGGCCTGGGTCACGAGAAATTTTCAAAGAGAGGGTCCATGAAGTGTTTGGCCCCAGTGTAAAAAAAATACCTCCTAGAAAATAATTTGCCACTCAAGTGCCTCCTGGTGATGGAAAATGCTCTAGCTCATCCTCCAAACTTGGTAGACCTCTTCTCTAGGGACTTCAGTTTTATAACAGTGAAGTTTTTGCCTCCTAACACCACTCCTCTCCCCCAGCCCATAGACCAGCAGGTCATTTCTAACTTCAAAAAACTGTACACAAAAGCAGTGTTCAAAAGGTGCTTTGAAGTGACCTCGGACACTGAACTGACCTTAAGAGAATTCTGGAGAAATCACTTCAGTATCTACAACTGCATAAGCCTTATAGGTAAGGATTGGGAGGGAGTGACTTTCAGGACTCTGAACTCTGCTTGGAGACAATTGTGGCCACAATATGTCATCCTGAGGGATTTTGAAGAGTTTAAGGCTGACCCCTGACCCTGCCAACCCTCTGCCTGTTGTGGAAGGTATTGTGGCACTG